ACCTTTCAAGAAGTTCTTCCCAATTATGAACATCTCTTCTCCGCCCTTCACGCTGCATTGTGTCAGGGATTTTTTGGAAATTTCTGGAATGCCCGTTGGCTGAGCTGATTGTGTATGTATGTTTGTTTATGTGATGGCTGAGCTGTGTTGGTGCGTGTGTGTGTTGCGTTCGTATGTGTGTGGGGTGTGGTGTGTGTGTGTGTATGTGTTGTGTGTGTTTGTGTGTCAATTAACACGCTAGTGATAATGAGATTAGTTTAATTTAGAAATGAACAAAAACAATTTTACATCTAAAAATAAACTTCATAAATCATCAATCATAAAAATACTAGAACAAATGAATAGATATTAAACGAAAACAAAAATAGACATTAATCTTGAAATAAGCGATCTCTAACCACAATAAACACCCATACCAACGGCTACCACAACAACCACAACTACCACAGCCACCGTCATCTGTAACGTCAACAGCTACTGAAAAAAACACAAAGGAAAAAAAAAAGAAAAAAAGAGAAAGAACTGCCAGAAAAATTTACAACAACAACAACAGCAAACAGCAACAGCCTCAACAACAACAACAACAGCCTCATCATCAACAACAACAACAACAAAAACAACATCAACAACAACAAAAACAACATCAACAATTACAACAACAGCAGCAACAACAAACACTCAGAAACAACAACACAACCAACAAAACAGAAAACCAACATTAGCAGATATTATCAACGACAAACTGCAATGAATAGCTAACAAGGACCATAAATTATGCAAACGCAACAACATATCGGAGAGATTTCTTGTGTTCTTTTTGCCCGAAATTTATTCTACCTCCATATACTTCGCAGCTCTCTAGCCCAAACTAAACAACGGTTACAAAAATAATAGCCTTGCATTGCCTTGAAACCAAAACAGCCATTAAATAAAAAGTTAACTCCTTGTTTTAATGTTCGTATTTTGAATAAATAATAAGGTTGCTTTTTGTCACAATTTTCTCATGTTAATATTCAGTGGTTAGTAATTGAAAGTGCATTTAAATGCACGTGTAGATATTATTTCAACACTCACTACTCGCGTGAATCGTTATACGTTGTAGATTTAACAAAATGATCACCACCAACACAAACAAAACAGAGAACCACCCAACCAAACAACCAACCGACCGACCGACCACACATTCAACCAGCATGACAGCCACCAAGACGGAAACATCGCAATGAAAAGCTTTTACATTAATTGCGGTCAGCAACAACAGCGCAGTATCTAGGCGGTATCTAGGCGGTATCTAGACGGTATCTAGATGGTATCTAGGCGGTATCTAGACGGTATCTAGGCGGTATCTAGGTGGTATCTAGGCGGAATCTAGGTGGTATCTAGGCGGTATCTAGACGGTATCTAGGTGGTATCTAGGATGTTTCCAGGCTCTTAACTGATGCTCGTGTACCCAGCAACAAGCAACCGACATTTCATGCCTCTGCTTGTTTTAATGTAAATTTTTCCATTCATTCGATTAATTACATTTTTTTTTTCTATATCGCTTCCTTCAGCTTAATTTTTTTCGTTTTGTCAACTCGTTTAATTGTTTTTGCAAGAGGTATAGTTGTGTCATGAGTTGGTATGAAATAGTATAAACTTCAGACTAAATCAGTGAAAAGAGCGATGAGTTTGTAGGCTTGCTCTACAAATTTCAGAGTCGTAAATGAGAATAACAATAATAATAACAACGACAACAACAATTTATTATTAAAAAAATATAATAATAATGATAATAATAAAAATATTGACAATGAAATCAACAATAATGATTGAGATTTACGATACATTTATCCCGTGATCAATCGCCACAATGTGTGTTCATGATGATGATGATAAGGATGATGAAGATGATGAAGATGATGGTGATGATGAAGATGATGATGATAACAATGATGGTGACCAAAATGATGAGGATGACGAGTTAATGATGGAGATTTTTTTGACAAAAACAAAGAAGACAATGATGACACTCACCAAATTTATATTATCGGTACGTTTTCCGATTAGTCGTAGCTCAGTTAACAGAACGTGCTTAACAAAACCAAACACCGCGCACTCCCCTGGTTCAAATGCTAGCATAACCAAATTAGAAATCTCACCTTAATGTCTAAGGTTTTATGGCGGTCTATTTTTGTAATTAGCTAACACAGAACAAATATTTGAGCTTTGTAGTGTGTGTAGAATTGATTGTCACAAAATAATGTTTCACAAATAAAATTTACAAATAACTTTATTTGAAAATAACTAGGCACACCAAAAATTCAAAATATGTGACTGATTGAATTTAACAGAATACAGTTTTTCTGATTATCCAGAATGCATGTCAATTTTTATAAGCACTGGCTCCAAGGGAAAGACATTCCAATGTTTCAGCTAAACTTCTTAACAAAAAAATCCAAATTCGTATTAAATTAGAGTTTAATTTTTCGCAACAAAAAATTATTTAGCGTTTTAAAACTTTGAAAAATGAGACTGAACTAAATAAATTTTTCAGATATTTTACAGAATATTCATTATTATTAATATTACTGATAACAGTGTTGTGTAGTAATGATAACAATGTTGTGTAGTATTGACAACAGAGTTGTGTTGTTTTTTTTGTGTTGTCGAAAAATTTTCTAAAAATTTTTCTGTTAATGCTATTAACATTTTTTATTGGATTTTTTACCATTTCAAAATCGATCATAGTTTGGTTTTTTACTTACTAAAGGATTACGAGATGACGATGATGATGATGAATGTGATTATGATGATGACAATGAGAAGGAGAAGAAGGAGGAGGAAGATAATCGTTATTATGAAGATGATGAGGAAAATAATGTCACCATCATTCTCATCATCATCAGATGATGATGATGATGATGATGAAAAAGATGCTAATGCTGATGATGATAAAGATGAAGACAATAAGTATGATGAAGAAGATGATGATTAAGATGATAATGATGAAGATGGTGAAGAAGATGATGAAAATGATGAAGATGGTTACTGTTTACTGTTTCTTGATGATACTGAAGGTGGTACCTGGCGATGAGATTGATAAAGACGAAAAGCAAAAATAATATCCTATAACGAAATACATTAACAATTATAACAATAATAATCATAGTAATTAATTTGTTAGCAAAAATATATTATCAAAATAAATAACAGTTAATAAGAAATAGTATTAAATCTGGCGAAGATTTCTTTTTCAAAGTTTTTAAAAATCTTTTATACAAAAATTTTGAAACGGCTTCTTATTTTTTAAACTCAACAACTTGTTCATACATTTCATACATTTATCGGTTTCGTTGATTTTGTTGATCGCCTGTCGGCTTAACTGATCAATCCAATCCTCCAATGCCCATCTTATTTCATTTTCTTATTAAAATACTAACTGATGATCGCATTCTATATCATCAAAGCCTGCATATATGGAAATATGAAAGCTTAATTGAAGAATTTTCTATATAAACGCAGTCGAATTGTGATGAATTACATTCAGTCAGTTGTCTTGCTAGAGCTTTTCACTACTACTACTACTACAACTACAACTACTACAACTACAACAACAACTACTACTACTACTTAGCGAGGTATCAAGATGGTGAAGAAGTTGATGTTATTCGTGATGGTGGCGGTTGGGCTGAAGATGGCGATGGTGTCTGCAAGTGAGAGAGAGATACATTTTTATTTTTTTTATTTTATTTACAAATCTATATAATAATAAAACTATTAGTTTTTCTATTATTTCGATTGTTTTCCTTCTGCAAAAACTTAACAACTGTTAAAGTTTCTTTCAGCTAGGCGGCGAGAATTTACCAAACATTATATATATTTTAAATAACAATGAATCACTTGAATAGCAAACAAAATAGAGATCAATGAAGATGATTTAGCCAAGTTTAAAGATCTAATTAGAGAAATTTTACCGGAGATCACTTTTACTGATGAAGAATATCGAGAGTTTTACGACCTGCTTCAAGGTATACTGGATGACTCTAATACCAGGAAGAGGTCAGCTGAAAATTCCGTATCGGCTGACGATTCCGAACTAGCTGACGATCCCGAATTAGCTGAAAATTCCGTATCAGCTGACAAAACAGATTTCGAAACAGCTGACGAAAATGGTAATGTTTCTGTAACATTTTTACAAATTAATATTTTCCATCAAATATGTTTATATTATTAGTAGTTAATTAAACTTAAAATCCATTCAACTTGACCATCATTGAAAGCAGCCTTTGAAATCCAGCTTGCTTATGAGGCGTTTGAAGAGGTCATGGAAGAATTCTTCAAGAGTGAGATTTCCGTTGATGAGCAGAAAATTGATGAACTCTTCACCAAAATGATTCAACTTTACGAAGATCTTGCAGAGGATGTGAGCAGTGATGACGATAAATCCGGAAGTGAGAATGAGGAATATTTCGGAAGTGGTAAGGAAGAGGATCCTGAAAGAAGTGATTAGGACCATTCCGAATACTGGGAGTATAATGACAGTGGAGAGAAAAAATATTTTCAAAGAAATAAAAATTTGAAACTCCAGCCACTTATCGAAAATTCTATTGATTGCATTTTGAATTTTATTAAATGTTTTAAATATGACAATTATCTAGTAATAATATTAACGATAACGAATAAAATTCTTTGGCATTGAATTTTCGTGATGTTTTGTGTTTAATAATATTATCACGGTGCACTAAAGTATAAACAAATGAACCGCAAAAAAAAACAACCCCATATAGTTTCAGCATAAAAAAATATTACAAAATTTAAAGCATATATACACTTCAAATATTTTTAATAATCTTTACAATTAATAAATGTTTAAACGGCTACTTCTATATCTATAAAACATTTTATATGATACAACAGATATAACAAAGTTATTTAACCCATTCAATAGTTATTACGCATATAAAAATTTGGAGTAAAATTGACGTCATAAGAACTTTATGGATAGGCAAAATATTTTTTTCTTACAGTTTCCTCTTTATTTTTTTTTTCAAAATCATCAACAGAAAATACAGTTTGTCTGTATACACTGCATAACTCCGATAAGTGGAAGTGCCATTGTAATTGAAATTTTCAAGTCTATTATTAGTAATAAATTTACCTTGAAAATCATATCGAAACTTTGAAACTCAAAATTACTTTCATTTAAATTATTACTCAAAATTTTATTACAACCGTTTGACCACTTGTAGATCAACAACAGGTTTTTACACGTATGGGAATATATTTGGTTTTATTAACTCTCAATATTGAATTGAAATGTTGAGTTATAAATCTATCAAAAAATTGTAAATTAAGTAGCGATTTTACGTTCAAATATTTAGTTCTGTGGTTTTCAGATTTCTTTCTCATTTAATTATTTTCTTTTCAATTCAATATTGAAAAAAATTATAGAAAATTCAATAAATAATAAAAATTATATTCAAAAATTTAAATTTAGGGGCGTATCTGGAAAATTTTTTTGATAGGGCGCCAAAGTTTAATGGAGGCCAAAATCTGGAATGATTTGGTTATCTTTTAACATGCCCATCGCACATTTTGTGTTAATTTTCCTATTTCAAAGAGCATTTTCATGTATAGAAACCGTTTTGACGTATAAAAATTATTTAAAAAATACTCTAATAAGTCTGCTTACATTTCCAAAAAATTACAACAAAAGTCTTGATGACGAAAGTTCCTTGATTCATTTTTTTAAAACAGTGCAGCTATGAAAATAGACTGCCCTTTGTTATTTTATGATGACCAATCTTGTGATGGCAATTTTATGATGATCAATCACGCTTTTTTCATATAACGGTCAATGTAATTTAGCAGCCAGAACAAGAATAAAGTGAAAGATAAAATAAAATTAATGGACTATCGTCACAATCGTCATAATAATCAAATTATATTAACGTATAAAAGTCTTTTTTGAATTTTTTCTCATTACGGTGTGCCACTGAAAAGTTTTATTGAATAAATTTATGATTAAAATGAATTAAACTGGTAGATGGTGAACATTGTTTGAATGGTCAGTAGGTTAGTAAATTTAATTTTTTCTCCCCGCTCACATGTAGAAGACCATTCAGACGGGCCATCGTAAATATTTTACAACTGGCCAAATAATGACCTCACTAATGCATTCACCTTCATAAAATTCTTTTCAATGCAAATCGACAAACACTCGCACATGGAGACACGTCCACTGCATAAACAACACACAGATACATACACACACACACACACACACGCGCGCGCATATAAACATACATACAATCACACACACACACTCAAGCATATATAAAACACATACGCATACAAACACACACAAACAAATTCATGTATACATATACAAGCACACATACAAACGGACACACGTACACTTGCACACAAAAACACACACAAATCCTATCAACATTCATACAAATACACACACAAATATCGATCATATGTGGCATTAAATCATTTTGTTGTACACAAATATTCCATTTAACACTATAAATTAACACAGCGGCGGGTCTAGGGATGGTGGAATGTGAGGGCCAGTAAGAGTTATTTGTGTTAAAAGTTATTAAAGTTGTTTTTTCAAAGGAAAAACTAGTTTAAAAATTGACATTGTTTAAAATCTCGCCCTTCCAGCTTGTCAAAAATGTTTTGAGAACTTCCTCCATCGGTCGTGAAATATTTTTTTGAAAGTCTTTCCCCCCCCCCTCGTTAAAGTTGTTGTCTAGATCCTTCACTGGCATGTCATACATGTTTATTCATTCTTATTTTTTCATTAATCGACAGATATCATGATATTCTATCATAATATTAACAATTATACCTAATATAGATATCAAACCGTAAAAAAAATTTACAAGACTTAACCTAAACGAATTATTACTTCAATTATTTTTCATAGAAACTTTCTAAGTACCGACAGCAACTACCTTCCACATTGGCAATTCAATTTCAAACATTTATCAATTCATGTTTGTGTTCTCGTTTTATGGCTATGCCCATAGCGGACACACAATGGTGGCGGACATTACGATGATGTTTAATTTGATAAGTTTTTGGGTGATTAAATTCTGAATAAATTTTTCATATTAATGCCCTTTGTGAAAATTAAAATTGCTTTTTAGTGAAATTTGTAACACGTTTGACAGTAAAACAAGCAGATAATTATCCACTGAAACAACACACAATATTTTCAAACAACAACACACACACACACACATAAATACACCTCACTCTCTCTTTCACACACACACATATATTTACACCTCACTCACACATATACGCTATCAAACACATACTCACACACTCACACACACAAACACGTGAACGGATGAAAAAAATTTTCTGAAAACATTCACCCTCTGATGAAATTTTACAAGAAAAATACATCAGACGGTACGTGAGGTGATAATGCATTTTTATGGAATTATATGGTGTGAACATCAATACAACATTACAATACATACATCAATACAACAACATTACAATCATACACATATATCCTGATATACAATCACATTACAATACATACACTAACATACAAACACATTACAATAAATACATCAATACATATTGATATTCAATTGCATTAATCATTGCCAGAGAACAAATCCTTTCGATTCTTCAGATACAATCGAAGACATATATTTATATGATAGTATCAATTTATCATGATAATATCAATTTATGCATTACGTTCTCTCTTTATAACTTTAATTTATACCTCAATAATAGCAATTTCTTTTTTATATTAACTATTTGCCATTCATTTTAAATAGTTAACAATGTATAAACAATTAATTTGAGAATAGTTTAGTCTTTAAGAATTAAATCCAACATCTATGTACTTGTTTGTTTTCGGTATTTTGGACGTCACGTTGCATTTATGAGTAATCTGGTGCTCGTGATTAACTTTGACTTTATTGATATTCTGGTGTTCTGTTGTATTTATAGGATGAGTCCGATGTGTCTTGAGACTGCTAGATGCATGGCAACAACTTTTATTGCAGATTCTTATTAGTCCTATGTGTAGCTGAGTTCAGCAGTAAATGAAGGACTCACCTTAAATTTAATATGAGGAGTGTGTTGCTATGAAGACTTGGTTGTTGTAGCGTGGTTGTTGTGCTGTTGTTGGTGTAGTTGTTCGTGGTTGTTGGTGTAGTTGTTTGTGGTTGTTGGTGTAGTTGTTCGTGGTTGTTGGTGTAGTTGTTCGTGGTTGTTGGTGTAGTTGTTTGTGGTTGGTGTAGTAGTTGATGATTTGTGGTTGTTGTGGTTGGTTATTGGTTGTTGTGGTTGGTTTTTAGTTGTTGTGGTTGGTTTTTAGTTGTTTTGGTTGGTTTTTGGTTGTTTTGGTGTGGTTGTTGTAATTGGTTTGTGGTTGTTGTGATTGATTGTGTGTTTTTTTTGTGGTTGGTTGTCATAGTATTACGGTTTACCATCGAGGTAATGTTGCAATATTTTTGTGGTTTCGTAGTTGAGCTGTTGCTTCATGTGTACAAATACAAGACTCAATGTGCTGTATATTATTTATTGTTGATTGCTTTGTTGTTTGAGCTGGCTTAAACATTGTTGACAAAAAATAACAACGTTCGAATCAACGATTTAGAGTTTTAGTCCGGTGTCTTTGAAGCTGTCTTATATACACGTTTCTATTGAGTTGAAGTATTTTTCAAGTTGGTTTTATAAATTAACTAAATCTTCTGCCGGTTTAAGAAACAATCTTGCTTATATTTTCATATTGTCATTGATTTTCTTCTTCCTCCAAAAATATTTCCATCACATGTGCGTCAAAAATCAGAACGCAGCTGCAGATATCGGTGATAACATTCTTTTTCTTCTTTTTCTTTTTCTTCTTTCTTTCCACTTTTGTGCTTTACTGCCGCATTTTTCAATGATTTGCTTGCTGACAAAAAAATAAACTAATGCATACAATTACAGAAGAAAAATAAAAACAAAAAACGTAAAAAACTAACATTAAATAACCAAAAACTGGCATTTTCTGTTCAAAAACAGCAGCAGACCACCAAAAAATAAAATCATAAATATTTACGATTGCTTTCAAATGTTAGCCACAACAAAACGTAGAAAGAAAGAATATTTATACACCACGCATATAGAAAGAGAATTTGTGATTCTGGAGAATGTACGTACAGCAGACAGAGATTGTGTTGAAACAAAGGACTTATGCAAACATGTAAGCGCCGATATTTAAACATAAGCAGGAAAAAAAATGTCTTCGCTGACAAAACAAACATTAGAACTGCAAACAAAAGGTTCACACACACACAAACACACACACACACACACGTGTAAAAACCAAAAAATTTACATACAATATGAAAAAATGGATAGTTACTAACAAACTTATTAGCATGTTTTTGAAATCATTATGATCATATATCTATAAAACCTCAGATCTAAATTTTACAAGAATCTAAATAGTAACGGTTATTTTTTCTTACACACACACAC